TGCTATTACTTTCCACCAACATCAGACACAACCATGAGACCTCTTCATCAATGTTTCACTTTTTTCATTTTTTTTTTCTGCTGTCAAATGTTGCATTTTAGGGTGTCATTAGTTTGGCCAATAGCGTTGAGCTTGCTTTTTTATCAAGCTTAAAGAACATCTTATATTTTGACCAAACAAAAAAGAAATATAAATAAAGCTAGCATAGTTAATCTAGGTCCATTTTGGTAAAGTAAAATGGATGCAACCCATAAAATTAAAAAGATGTTTGGTTAAAAATTTGAAATTACAGTGTAAAAAATAACAAGAAATATTGAAAACGTCAAAACAATGTCTATTTAAGCTAAAAAAAATGTTAAATAAGCTCAGGAATGGTAAAATAGAAAAAAAAAATCACAATCCTTCTTTTCAATAATGAATTATTATTTTTATTTTGTTATAATCATTTGAATTTATTGTTACCTATTCATTATCACTTTTGTATGAATTTGTAGTTTTTAATTTGTTATATTTTATATCTTTTGAGATTTTATTTTTGTTTGCTTGTACTACGTTATATTCTGGAGAAAGTTATTTTACTCAAATCAAATAAAATCATTGTAAGAGGTAAATTATTTTTCTAAATACATAGTATAACTGCATACATAAAATTGAATTAGAAGCTCTTGGTTAAGTTGCTAGTCAAAATAACAACGATAAAAATTTTATACTATGAGTTATTTTATTATTATTATTATTTACCAAATGTTTCTTCTATAAAATATAGTATAGCTACCTAATTAAGCTAGCTAGTTTCTTCTTCATTAATTAAAATATATTTGGTTATTGAGTTAGTAGTGATTCAAGAAATATAATGACATAATGAACCAATATTATTTATGCATATTGCCTTTACTTGTACAAGAGTATCCATTTTCATGATATAATTGTTAATACTTACATAACAAATTTTGACATTGTGTGGTTTAGGCATCATGGTGTAGATTTTTTAGAAAAAAGTGTATGTGATTTTTTAGAAAAAGTAGGCTTACCAAACCTAAAGTGCAAGACATATGATAATTTTATAATAAACTAAATTAAGTCTTATATTTCAAAATTATGATCTATGACATGTAATAGTCTTTATTGATTTGTAATAAGAAAATATGGACATAGTTGTATTTGTAGATGTATTAAAAATGCTTTATTAAGGAAGAAATTTTTTTTTAAGGGTAGATCATACATGTCAAATTATATTGTTTTAATTTCATATAAAAAATAGATAAGTTTAACAAAGTGAAGCCAACTTTCACCATAAGAATATATGTTGCTAAAATTATTTTCAAGCTTTCTTACAAAAAAAGAATAGTTGTATTTATAAAAATGATATTTATTTGACTTATTTTATTTAGGTTGATACATGTAGTTGTTGGTCATTACTAGTTCTCCTAAATTAGAGAAAGATCTCAAGAAAATAAACCATGTCCATGATGCTTAAAAAAATAGCCAAGCCATACTCCTTTTTATATATAAAAACCTTAGTCATCTTAATTTATTGCAAGAAAATAACTTACCTTATTCTTTCTAGGTAGAGAGTCTTAAGTTGAAATAATACAAAGCTGGAAGGGCACTTAGAGCTAAAACCTAAGATTGTTATTCTTTGGTTCTGGTTTGTTTTTCATTTAAAGAGTAATATTTCCATTTTAGATGTCCAAATTTATGCTAGTAAAGAATACAACTCCTTATTAATAACTGATATTTAAGATATCATTTGAAGGTGTTGACCCAACATGAGGCATGCAATTTATCTTTATAGTGGCACTTAAATCATGATCTAAAGTGTGTGATATGAATGATGCTAGTCATGGAAGGCTTCCTTCAAAAGCCAATCAATCATATTTAGAATACATAACCTAATATCTATATTTTTTTATTGGTAAAAATGTTGAAAATTATCCCTCTAACAAGAACCAATGAAAATATTGTATTGCCAATGTAAGTTTATTTTAAAGTTGAAAGTTAATGTTAAGACATAAATAATTATCTATAATTAACATAACCTAAAGGATACAATTATCAACAACTTAGAAATGCAAGAAAATTACAATTGACCTTTCCAAATGAAGAAAGGAGGAATAACTTCATACCACAACCCATTCACTCCTATTACCATTTTTTAGCTATTAAAAATTTCTAATTAATTCAAGCAAATAAAGAACATTGAATTCTTTTAAGAAACCATAGATTCTTAAGAACACCTTGATTGTTTCATGTTTAACACATTCTTGAAAATGACAAATCACATATAACATGCCTTTCGCCAATTTAAAAAAGGCATTATTGCAATAATTTTTATCTTTTTCTCATGCTTTATTAGTTCATAAGACCACCTTGTTCCTCATTTTCTTCTACATTTTATTCATAGTAAAGAGAAATTGAGATTCTCTCATTTATTATATTAAGATGAAACAATAGAAGAACAAGTCCTTGAGTGATTTCCTCACTTAAGAGGTCTTTTTAGTACATGATCTGGACTAAAAATTCATTTTCCATATATTGTTTAAAAAACTTTAACCTCTAACTTGCTTGTGAAGAAATAAGCCCAAACAAAAAACTACTTCCAAATCATAGTGAAAGATATCAATTAAAATACTTTGTGAGTGGAAGAAAACTAGTAGAGAAAACAAAGGAGTTAGAAAAAAAAACTTTTAAGGCAACGTTAAGGCAACGTTGGATTCCATGGAAAGGGTTACAAGGTTCTTTAATGAGTAGCATTCATAAATACTTCTATATCATAAATATTTTAAGAATTGATACACATAAGTTGGGTGAAGTCTCCCAGACCTATCACTTAAAAGGTTTGCATTGTTGGATAAAGTACTGCAATTGTTATGACAACAATAAATACAAAATAAAAAAATCACATATATCTCAACTGTATAATAATCAAATTGTCATTAAAAGTAATTCTAGGAAAGATATATTCATTTACCCACTTACAAATGATTATACACATTGAATTAGCCTAAGTTGCTAAAGGGAGATAGCTAATTCTTATGGAAGCAACACCTTAAAGAAATTATTAGTATTAAAAGTTTCTAATTAGAATATAACTCAAAATATTAGTCATTCTTACTTTTTTGACAAGAATTTTCAAGCACTATAATATTTTTGGTTAGCAGTATTTTTGAAGTTAGACTTATTTGGAGAAAAGAGATAAGTCCTCTCTTACTTTATCCCTACAAGCACTCAAATGGAAAAAGAGAAAACAAAAGGTGAAAAAAATATACAAGCTTTAAAATGGTTTAAGATTTCTTACCTATGTATACAAATTTTTAACATGATTTTATTATTTTATATTTTTTAATTGGATAAAAATATAAATTATCTCACCTACAATTTTTTGACAAGCAAAACTAAAAACCTTCATCTTTATAATTTTTAGATGGATAAAATTATAAATCTTTATTTGACACACAACTACCAATTGCTGTAGCGAGTAAATATATAATAAATTTTTGTATTTTATAATATTTTTTTATATTCTTTTTTCACGTTTTTTTTCAATGAAATTTGGATTAAAATTTTCTTTAACCTAACAAATTATCCCTTCATCTAAGTCTCATATTTCATTGATTTGACAACAACTTTTGTATTAGCCTTTTTTATTATGGTACAATTATCTCTTGCTATATAATTCATTAACTAATAAAGTTTTTCTTTAACTTGTAAAGGAAATGACTTTTTTTTTAATTGTTCTCTTTTATTTTATTTATCTTTAGTTAGAACCTTTCTTTAATATAACTGCTAGAATAAACTATCAACTTTAGCATCATTATTTATGCGAAAAAATAAAAACTCTATGTCACTCTATCTTTAAAAGCACTTAAATAAAAAAATAATTTAAAATTACATAGCTTCAATGTAATTCAACACCTCTTATCTATGATCACAAACTTTCAAGATAATTTTATTATTTTATAATTTTTGACCTAAGAAAATTATAAACATTCTCACTTACAAATTTTGAGTAGACAAAATTGACATACATGTACTCAACTGTCTTGTATACTTGAACTATATGTTGTGGTAATTAAATACAAAAGAAAAAGAAAGACTTAATTAGATTTATATTTCTTTCATTTAAATTATGTGACTTTTATTTTAATTTTTTTAGAATAATTTAGAAAATCAAAATATGCATTAACATATGTTAATGTTGAAAGAAATAAACAACAAAAACAAGATTCATATTCCAAGAAAAAAGAAAGACTTAATTATATTTTATTTCTTTTATTTTAAATTATGTTTGATTTTGATTTTTAATTTTTTCTAGCCAATTAAGTTTTGTTAATTTAAAATTAAGCAAACTTGTTCCCTTGTCAATTTTTTTATCTAAAATTTATAATTTATATTTTTTATTCAAAATTTTTACAAATTAAATAATATTATTTAAAAATATCAAACTACTCAAAAAATTTTAAAATAAGAATTTAAAATTTCTTCTCTTTGAATCTTAATTTCATATTATATAAAATATTTCAAATTTAATCAATTTTTACTAAATTTATTGATTCTAAAATTTTAAAATAATTTAATATCCTGAATCCATAAAAAATTCTAAAATAATTATAAAATTAATAATTTGATGATTTAAAGCAAACAAAATTGATAAAGTCACCAAATTCACTTAATTTTAAATTAGATAAAGTTAATTAACTTAAAAACAAACTTAAAAGACTACAATCAAACACAATACAAACTAAATGAACCAAAAATATAATTAATTTAATAAATTTATTAATTTAAAATTTGAGAATTATTTTTTTATCGAAGTTATTACATTAAGAATTATTTAAATTGAAAAAGATAAATGTGGAAAAATAAAAGCAGGAGGAGCATTAGGATGGCACGTGTGGGTAGATGATAGGTCCCACGGATGGGCCGCCCAAAAATGAAAATTCATAGATTGAATTCAAAGATCTGACGAAGAAGAGAGCTATTAATAAAAGAGGCGAAGACGATTCAAAGAAGGAAAGAAAAAAACAAAGAAAGAAACAAACAAACCCCGAGGATTTGTGTTTCCATTGCAACCGAACCCCTCTTTCGCTCACACTTTCCCTCCTTCTTTCCTTTGGCTTCTTCCTCTGCACACATTTCTTCTGCCACAGCTCAGAAAAAGTTACAATCCTCCAAATTAGGTAAAACCCGATCTCATCATCGCTCTCGCTCCAAAGCCCATTGCATCCAAATTCTTCCCTTTCTTCAATGCTGCCATCTGTGTCCTCTTCTTCCAACTGATTCAAATCCTTCCTTCTCAGCCTGTAGCTCGCGCTATCTTCTATGGATTTCATCTGGACCCAAAATGCCACGCCCGATGCCTCTCATTTCGCCGTCGCGATCTACTTCGCTTTTGCCTGTTTCGCGGCCCGCTTCTTCCTTGACAGATTCGTCTTTCGCGTACGATCCTGTGTCTGCGTTGCAAATTTATTCTTCCCTAGTTGATTGGATTATTGCTAATAGCCCTGTTTCTGTTTTGTTAGAGATTTAGAAGAGGAGAATTGAAACTGCTTAGTTCTGCATTGTGCTTGTTTTCGCGATTTTCATTTTTAGGGTTCCTTGAAAGAAACTGCAAAAACTGACTGTTTTATTAGTTATTCAGCAAAAGTTCTCTGTTAAGGTTATTGATTATCCCGCCCTCCTTTGTTACATTTAATCGGTGTGAGTTGCCTGGATATTATTCATTTTGGTTAAAGTATCTTTAAGTTGACATGTCAGTTTGAGTTATTCCCGCAATTGAATTGAAAATGGATGCATCAATGCCCCTTGTTTTGGAAAATATTTTAATGCAGAACTGCTCATTAATGTTGAGTTAAAAAAGCTTAGAGCTGTCTATTGGTATTCATTGATCCTTCTCATGTTGGGATGTGGATTATTTCCTATTTTGTCAATTAATGAATTAATGAGCGTGCCTTCTGTGCATTTTCTTTCCTTCTTTCTTTGTCTTGAGTCTTTGCATGAGTGATAATTACGTAGTTGTTTTATGGTTTGATTGTCTTTTCCCTTTAGTAGCAACCGTGCAATTTTGGTTGTTGTTGGTAGACTTTATTTCCTGATCTTACAGATCGAACAAGGGGAACCAAAAAGAAAAACACTGTTATCGGTAAAGGATTTTGGAAGAGTAACCCTGTCCTCAAAAGTCAAAATGTGCCGGAAAAGGCACGATTGTTGTTGTTCATGTATACCTATTTTTGAAAATGTGGGAAAAACTGCTGTCAAGTGTTAACCATGACATTTTACTTCGGTGAGGAGAGACACATGTTAACAAACATTATTTTGGTTTCCTTCATCTGTTTTCTTGTTAAGAAAATACCTTAGCATTGCAAAAATCTCATATTTGCTTTTCAGGATGATAGGTTAAATGTTTTCTAGCAAAGCACATTGGCAAGAATGATAAATGATTTCTAATGGCCAAAGTTTGATAATTTTCTAAATTCTTGTTTCATGATGTGTGCATTGATCCTTGTAGTGACCTGTGGAAAAAGCACTTTTGGAAGCAACTATGACCAATTTTATGCTGAATTTGTTAAAGAAAATTCTAAATCCTCCAACAACATATTTCCACCAAATATCCTACGTCCTAATTGAAGAAAAAAATTAATGCTTTTATGTTCTAACGATATTGAATGCATTTACTTTTTCATTTAATACTTATAGGCTTATAGCATTACTCTTCATTTAATTAGAATAAATAATATTAATGATCTTTTTTTAAACAGATTCCTCTCTTCATTTTCTTAAATATTTTTGATGTCTACAGAGGTTGGCCATTAGGCTGTTAACAGGGGGTAGAGCTCCTCCACGGATTACTAAGGAAATGCAAGTAAAGATTGGAAAATGCTCAGAATCGTTGTGGAAGTTTACATACTATGCTGCAGTTGAAGCATGCATTCTTAAAATTACCTACCATGAACCCTGGTTCAGTAATACAAAATTATACTTCAAGGACTGGCCAAATCATGAGTTGAAGTGAGTATTTTATGTAGGATGATGAACAATATCAATGCATATGTTTTTCCCTGATAATGAATGACTTGCATGTGTCTTGTTGACCTGATCTGTTGTGTTTCTTTGGAAAACCTCTTCATTCATCATTGATTGCTTTTACATTTTAAACTTTCTCATACTGTTAAGAGATAAACTGAATTAATGATTCACAAACCTGGGTTCTCATGCAGTACCTGTTATGGAAGAGATAAATTTGAGTGTAAGAGGTTTAAGAAACAAAAAATTGGTCCTTGGTCTTTTTCAGTTTAAAAACTTAAAATCTAAGTTTGGTTTCTGGTTTTTGATAGACAACTAGGTATATGACAAAACAAATTTCAAGAATTTCCAAAGCAATATACAGATATATTCCTCCCTTTATTAATGGACTATGCATATTACTATTTTATGGATTTATATAGGCTATGATTAATTTAGCTCCTTGCTTCTTCTGATACAATGTTGTTGGTTGCCATTTGGTTCTTTAGAGACTTAGACAATCAAGTCAAACTCAAATGGGGATAACTTGTAATTGTGCTTTGGAGGAAGCTATAACTATTATTGAACTCATATTTCAGTCTTGATGTAAATAGAATTTGGCATATTAAAATTTATATCGCGTTGTGTTTTTTGTCTTATCCCAGGAGTTCCCTAGTGCTTTACTACATGTGCGAATGTGGGTTCTACATCTATAGCATTGCTGCTATCTTAACATGGGAGACTCGAAGGAAAGATTTTTCTGTGATGTTTACTCACCATATAATTACTGTCTTACTGATTGGGATCTCATATCTAACAAGGTAATATCTGCCTAATTTTTTATTTTAAGAATATACCATCCCCATTATACGCAACCTTAGATTTGGAACTCAGTTATTTGTTGTTATTTTATGTAAACATGAAAATTCTCATTCGGTGCCTCATGTTTTATGCTCATTAGTGATAGCATCACTCAAATGAGGACATTAATTTTATCTTTTCTCTCAAATAATATTTGCAATCGTAGGCAGTGTTCTTGAAGCCAATCAATTTTCAGTCTGAGTTTGGGAATATTTTTCTGGATTTATCGCATGTTTCTAACTTTAACCATAGTAGATTCCTTGGATTTCATTCCTTATTTTAATATGACTGGATGGAGATCCATTTAAGCATGCCTACTTTTGATTGTATTAAGAAAAGATTGTTATTGAGGCTATGCTTGGATATCTGCTGTGGATTGGAATGGAATTGGATGGGGTGGGATGGGATGGGATGGAACAAGATGGAGTGGAATCAAATGGAATAAAGTCATTCCATTGTTTGGAACTTTTTATCATGGAGTGCAAAAGAAAAAGAAAAAGATTGATTTCATCCTATATCCCCCACCCATATTGGAGGGGAAGAAAAAAAGACACACTGGATGAAATGCATTCCATTAGGCTCCATTTCATTCCTTTCCATTAATTCAGATATAGCCTGGGGTTCTAGATGCCTTTAGCTATGTTAGAGCATTAATACAAGTTATTCTGAACCTTTTTGCAGCATTTTTGTGCCAGTGACAGGTATTACATCTGTAACTTCCCACTGTATGCAATAAAAGTGCCCAATGCAATACATCGTAGCTTTATGTCTTGAATCTGAGTCTCTGTAAATTCTCAGAAACTGTAGTAGAACTGATAAATACTTGATAAATCTTCCTTCTTTTTTCAGATTTAGATAATCAATTTTCAAAAGTGACATTAACATCTAGACAGATATTATAAAGAGATAACTTACACATGCTGCATTTACAGTTTTTTTAGGGTTGGCTCCATAATCCTCGCCCTTCATGATGCAAGTGATGTATTCATGGAAGCTGCCAAAGTTTTCAAGTATTCTGGAAGAGAGTTTGGTGCAAGTGTGTGTTTTGGATTCTTTGCAATTTCATGGCTCTTGCTGCGGCTAATTTTCTTTCCTTTCTGGGTTATTAAAGCAACAAGGTTTGTCTTTTCTATTTTATTATGCATTTGACTTTTTTTTTTGAAAGGCACAAATTAATCATATCTTATCATCACTGGGTTTCCACTTTCCAGCATTGATCTCCAGCAGTGCTTAAACCTATCAGAGGCTTATGACATGTTCCTTTACTATATTTTTAATACACTGCTCATAATGCTGTTCATCTTCCACATATACTGGTGGAAGCTCATATGTGCGATGATCAGTAGGCAGCTGAAAAATAGGGGAACAGTTGGTGAGGATATAAGATCAGGTAAAGCAAATTTCATTAATACAGATTGAATATATTATTCGTATTCTATTATTCTTTTGTTCAGGAACCGGTCCACTGTGAGGACATCTTCCACTGATAAAGTCAAATAAATGTTGTCTGAAATCTAAATTCTGAAAGTTTGAGCTTGCCTGGAGCACACAATCTAAACATTACTTTTGTGTGGAATTTTTCTCTAATCCTGTATCTTGAGGGCTGCCAGTAGCCTATTTACCCAGAATTGAGTGTTTCATACTTCCGAAGAAAATTTAACCTAGAGATACTGGCTTGTGTTAGATAAATGATGTGTGATCGTTAGCAGTACAGCTTTGAACTGCTAAATATTCCTATACTTCATCCCTCTTCCAGTTTATGCGATTCTTATCATTTTACTCTCAATCAACATATTGGATTAGTTAAATCATGATACTTGATCCTCTAGTGCCTCTTGGTAGTAGCTGTAATTACTGTCTCAAGTGTCCTAGTTCTTGCACTCAATTTCTAGCATCTAAGGATCTTTGCTTTGGTTACAGTTTGGATAAATATGTTTCTTTTAGCTGAAAGTTTTCTTTTTTCATTTGTTTTGCAGATTCAGATGATGATTGAATTATTGATGAAGGGTTTTGTTTTCTTTGTTCTCGATGGTTGGTTGTATCTCCGATGATACTGACCTGTCTATAGATTTCTAGGAGTTCAGTTGGTTAATACAACCTACTGAAGAGGTCTGAATTTTCTTTAGTTTCAAAATTTTCATTGATTACCGAGTAAAAAGGAAGTAGGGAACCGTCGAGCATATTCTAATTCATATATTTTTGTTGTATAAATGATAGGCATTCCTGTATAATTGTTTTTCCAAACAAAAGCCCGTTTAGGTTAGCCATGGGTTTAATGCAAAGTGGCTGATAAAGATATGAAGGGGAATTAGGGGGGAAAATAGAACTCTTACAGCCCATCTACATCTGAAGTTGCGCTTTTGAGCAATAAGCTGTGGACTGTTTGGTGCAGTGTACTGGATTCTTCATGTAAAATTGTGATGATGCGTTTTTTTACTGGAAATCCCATTGTTTTTTCCAAAATGCTAGGCTAAGCTCTTCTTATCCAAAATGCTCGGAACATACTTTTTCCTTATAAGTTGCTTTCGCAGTACAAAGTAATTGTTTTTTTCAAAGTGCTTTGCTAGCAAGAGACTCTTGTATTGAATGTGTTTGATTTTGGTTAAGCGACGAAAGTGCGGATAACTTTGTTTTGTATTTCAATTATATTTTTAATATTATAATTGAAGGGCTTTTTTGTACGTTTAAAGTGGAATCTTTTTGTCGCTTCTGGTTTTAGAAAATATTTTTAAAATATGTATATGAAAAAGATTAAATAGAAAGGTATAAAGATGATTGTATATATGATGTTAATTTTTAAATGTTAGATTTCATTTAGTTATACTTAATATGCGAACTACTCTAAAGGCAACAAAGGATTCAGTGTAATGAAAGAGCCCTCCTATTGCTTCGTTTCTCCGTTGTTGTGTTTTCTTCATCTAGTTTTCAATCCAGTTAGAACCTCGCCATGTTACATAACACTTGCATGATGATGATCTCGTGGAGATGGCATTAGATCGTTCACAATCAATTTGTGCCATTATTCCACGTGATCTTTCTCCCTCGGACATCTCCAGGGGATGGTTTGCATGACTCCATACTTTACCCAAATTTCGAAACTTATATATTTATGAAAATATAAAAAATAAATGAAAAATGTTATAGATTAAAATGTATATTTAGTTTTTATAGTTGAGATTTATTTATAAAATAGTTCCTATGTATGTGTGAGAGAGAAGATTTGTTGAGACTAAATGTTAAATTTAAATACTTCTATTATTTAATAATATTTTATACAATGTGAGATTAATTAATTTAATTGTTAGTTTGGAGTTTTTCCTTAATTAGATTAATTTTATTTTAACGTGTAATATGTTTTTAAAATATAAATAATATTAAATTTTGAATAACATATCAATAAATATTAAAGTTATGTAAAATTTGATATGCATGATTATAAAAATAGGATAAAATGATTTAATAGTTAAATTAGCTAATTTTTCATTTTATAAAAATTATAAAATAATATAATTGTTCAAGTTTGACACTTAAGATTCTTCTCTTCGTACATACATACATGTAGTTTAGTTTGTATTTTATAATATTGTGTTTCTTCTTGTAATATATCATTTTAAGGTCATTAGGAAGAAATAGGAAGAAAAAAAGGTGATATAACTAGAAGTGTTCAAACAGACAGGGATTAAAGTGTAACAAAAGATTTGTATAGTAATTAAAATATAAATTTTTTATAGAGACTAATTTATAAATTAATGTTAATTATATGAATCAAACATATATTTTAAATAAAAATAAAAATAAAATAAATATGATTAAAAAAATGTGCAAAAATAATTCCTAATTGTATTAAAATGGAAAGTTACACTAAGAAGCAAAGCATAATGAAATGCTCACATAAGACTAAGAAATAAGGATTTTAGGTATTTCACTAATATTATATAATTTAATTGATAAACAATTATTCTATTGATAGTAATATAAAAAAATATTTAAAAGTTTTTAAACTTATAGAATCTCAAAAATAATTCTAACAAAAACAAATTTATCTTAATGATGATTTATAAATATTTTATTATATGTAATTTTAATTGACAATTAAGTATTGATTAATGAAATTATAATAAGTAAAAAGTATACTTTATTTGATTAATTATATGAAAGACATTAATGTTGAGTTGATTGGATTTGATTGATTTAGCATAAAAGTTCATTATACATGTTACAATATGAGGGGAAAAAAGAAAAAAAACTCCATGAGAAAAGAGAGCTAGAGTACTTCAGGTTCAGTTTGAATTAATTTTTAGGTAAAAAGTCATCTAATTTGATTAACAATAATTTGGAATGGATGATCCATTTTTTTTTAAATTTAAATATAAAGTGATGAATAAACTATATTTTTATTAACACTTATTTTTATATAAAGTATAAACGTTATAGATAGAATTATAATTAAGCATTGTAACTTCGTAAATATACATTAGTAAAGGTATATATATTAGGAGAAAATCTAGATCTTTTTGGCACCTTTTTCTTTAATATACCTTTATATTTTTATTTTATATTTTATAAAAGTTTTATTTTTTTATTTTTATTTTCACTTTTTTTAATTTAACTCTTTAAATATCTTTTAGTATTCACATGTTCTAACAAAATTAGCACATAATATAAAAAATTTGATATTTTAATTATTACATCAACTAAAAATGTTGAATTTAAAAAATTAGAAACTAAAAATATTAAGACTAGAATAAAATATTATATATATATATATATATATATATATATATATATATTGTTAAACATCAACAATTTATTAAGGATAAGTTCAGAATACAAAGAATATTTTAATCCATTACAATTCTAAAAAAGTTAACAATGCATGTCAATGAATCATTAATCTAATTTATATACATAATTAATCTTCTCCATGACCCAACTGCAAGGCACTTTCAAGAATGATGCTTCACATAATTAAATATTTCACTAACATTTAACAATATCTTTGTTAAAGAGAATATTATTACAATGAAGCCAAATTGTCCATAATAACATAAATTATACTATTACAAATTTCTAAATTAATATTACCGAATTAGAAATTTCACCAGGGAGTATATGTTAAAATTTTCCTGTCAATATATTTTCTGACGAATTCAATCGAGATAGCATATCCTTGTCATTGGCGGTGCTAATCCATGATATTAGAGTGGATGCTACATAGTTGAGATTGGAATTATAGGAACAATACCATTGACTCGACTTAAAGCAAGATAGCCAGTGCAACAATTCAACGACACCACCTTGAGGGTTAGATAAACCCTACTGATCAAGCATAGAAATTATAAACCAAATCGATGCTTCTCTCAAACAATATTCAATTTTTGCCGGTTGTTATATATCAAAGCGATTTTGTAGAGAATGATGTCAATTTGATCACCAAAGAGGAAATGTTGGCAAATTCTTTGATGAGGGAATGGAATTTAGTCGTTGTCCATGTTGATTGGTAGAGGAAGAAGGAACGTGCTTTCAATTTCTTTCTTTCTTTCTTTTTTCATTTAAAATATTCACTTTTTATTAAGATATATTCTAAATTTAAATTTTAAAATAAATTAAGATTAACTTCAAATTTAGATTAAAAAAATATCAAGATTTACTACAAAAATTTCAAATTTTGTCGAGATTAAGTGTGTAATTTAAAATCATAATATTTTAAAATTTTAGATTATGTTTCAATTCATTTTCCCTGCATTTTAAACTCATGATTCAAGCATATTCTAAAGGTATCCATATTTAACGCTCAAGCGTGTCTCAACTATCAAGCAAGATATAGTACTTATGAAAGATATATGGGGAAAATTCAGGGAAAAAAAAAATCTCCAAATGTATCTTTAGATGATGGAATTAAGAGAAAGATGAAGAAAAAGTGTGTTTGTTCATTGATTTTAAAAAAATAAAACCTGAAGTCCTAGCATAATGGCATAAGTAGGTGGTTCAATTGTGATATGTTCATGAATGAATAGCACTTGTATGTGATTTTACCATGGAGAACCATTTTCATTCCTTTGGTAATTGTGGTTGAATATTATGGTTTTATTAACGTTGTAAATATTCATGTCCGCTTTCAGAATATTAAGAAATGATGTCTGTGAACCTTGCCGACAATGAATTCAGTATCAATGAGTTTGCATGGCTTGAAATCAATAAAATTGAAAAGAAAAATGAAAGTGTACTTAACATGATTCAATTTTTTTGGATAAAATTGAGGATTAACAGTTGATAAAAAAACTAGAAATTAATTTTAAAAATAATGCACTCAAAAATATCATAAGGATTAAAAATATATTTTAATTCTTCCGTTTGATTTAATAAATTTATAACCAAAAAGTAAATTCAATCGAACAATTGTTTTTGTAATTTTCAAACCATGTTTCGAAAACAAATTTAACCAAGTTTTATAATTTTTTTCATCAGTAAAACAAGTTTTTAAAAAATATGCAAACTTTTTGAGAACTTGATTTGCAAAATGGTTTTTGAGAACTAAAATAAGCTAAAACACAATCAAACAAATTCTCATAGTTAATTTTTTCTACTTAAACTTGTGTAGATCTTCACTTAACTTATACTCCCTCTACTTCTATTTTTTCTGATCAATGTAAGATTTTTTTTTCAACACTCTCCTTCAAGTTTAATTGGGTTAGTTTAACTTAGTTATGACTTACCATCATCTCATCTAGGCTCGCACAAAGATTTTTAAGTGCCTATAAGTTTGCAATAATTTTGCCTAAGTCTACTTCAATGAGTCCTTTCTTCAAATTTTTTTCTACTTTTGTTGTTGTTTATAGTTCTCAAATCTTGAACCACAAGTCTTTCCTTAGATTATTAATGAGTTAAGAATTCACAATAGCTTTAATATCATGTTAAACTTTTACGAATGAGTTATTAAGGTCTTACACTACATGAAAAACGATTGCTTTTCTTGATATTAAATTGTACTTGAAGTTGTAATTTTGTTCAAAATTACCTAAAACATGTAGATTTGTGCATCTTTGTCTATATTACTTTCATTTCTTTTATTTTCAACTAATGTGAAATTCTTTTTATAAAAATTTAACAATCTAAAAAGAGAGAAAAATAATGAGTTTTTTTTATATATAAATTCTCCATAACTCTTGTACATATTTTTCTACAACCTTCCAAATTGGGAAATTTTGAGGAAACAATATTAAATTAATTAGGTTATTGTTAGTTTATTTTTTTTCCAAATGAGCATGGTGTAGAAGATTGATTTTGCTATATACACACACACATAACATAGCTAGTCCAAGAGGAAGGCCTCTAAAGCATGTTTTTAGGGTGCCTCCTTTATAGGGTCTTATCTTTTTTATTTATATATTATGTATATAATAAAAAAATGGTATTTATAAAATTTTAAATTAA